ACACACACACACACACACCCATACCTACATACAAACACGTGTGCTCATATTTCAAAACAAAAGCGGTGCTCTCTGCCTTTCTTCTGTCAGTCAATCCCAGAGCTAATCCACAGGCAGTATTCTGCTGACGTCAAAATCATAAGCACGCTGTACTCGCTTCTACCTGCTTAGAATCACCCAAGAGGAGGTTCTGAAACAGCGGGCTGTGCGCGGTAGGAACCTAATGGAGACACATTCTGCTGAGGCCGAACCAAGCCGAACTGCATACAAGTGCCGGTGGAGATGGGGCTTTAAAAAACAATCTACAACAGGTAAGATAGTCATTAGGTATCCACAGAACCCTCCATCCAAAAGATCTGAACTCTCCTAATCACCAAATCAGTGTGCCATTCAGTAGATTGTTTATTTTAAGTGCCGTGTGTCCCTCTGTGAGTTTATTTTAAAGTCCTCTGATTACATCTTAGCTTTTTTTTTTTTTTTAGGATTTTAGGACTTATTTTTGCTGCAAACACGCAGAGGTGATACTCATCTGTCTTATCAACCAACATGTTCGCCTTTATTCCAAGTACAAAAAAACCACAGACTCCACCACTCGCTGCATTTCTGATCACAAGGAGCTATGTGTTTGAAGTGATTGTATTTAGTGTCTCTTGTTTTGGGCATGAAGGTGAGTGCATGTGTGGCACCTCGGATCAGCTGCAAACACACTATGGTTTGTTTCATTTATAATTCCTGGATAAGAGCTTTAAACTTACCACATGCTGCTTTTGTGATGTCCTTGTGCTTAACAGAAAGTTAAAGAGCCTGTGTGATCACCAAACACGTTACTGTAAAGCACTGGCATTTTCATTCCATATTTTGCACGTTTACAAAAAAATATTAAAAAAAACAACATTAAAGTGTCTTTTAAATTTGGTTTGCAGCAGCAACAATAGTGAAGTGAAATGCTTTGTTTAGGACATATTTGCATTCAAGACTGTTGCATCTATTTGCTCTTTGTGTCTCACCAGAATATTTAGACTGCACACACAAAAAAGGATTATACCTAACTGAAAGTTCCTTAAGTATATTTGGTTGTTTTCAAACTTCAATGTTAAATTACATATGAGAGAGAGAGAGAGAGAGAGAGAGAGAGAGAGAGAGAGAGAGAGAG